GGGTAAATCCGGACGAATGGTAACCCTACAAAATATGTTCTCACATCCCTTATCACCCTTCTCGCATCCCTTAAAACGTATAATGTTAATAAATACATAGATTTGATGAAACAAAGTAGTTGTACTTACATGCCTGTGCTTAATTTGTGTTTTCAATGATTTACCTTCTAAAAAAATCTGGCATGTCTCACACCCCCAGAAAGGGCATCTCGCACCCCCAGGGGGTGCGTGCACCCCAGGTTAAGAATTACTCACCTACCAGATGTGTGCTCTTCCATTAGTGGCCAGTACTAGCTGTCAGATGGAAGGAACACTTATTGTTCCTATTCAGAAGAGCAGTGGCAAAATGTGTTAGTGTAGTCCTCACCTCAAAACCCTGTCTGACACCATGAAGTCAGCCTAAGCCTATAAAAGGAGTCCACATTCCTTGTCTCAATTCATCTTTACCTCATTATTACTGAATCATTCTGATTTTCTGGGTTTTTTTTCTCCAGTGTGTTGGGGCTCCTATTTTGATTATTTAGTTGAATGGAACAAGCATATGGATGATGAAAATGTTATGGCGATAACCTATGAGGAGCTGAAAGAGGTGAGGTTAATGTTGTTTAAAGGAATCTTTACTTCATACTGAAATAGTGCATAACTAATGATAACACAGCTACTAAGCCCATGCAAGGCCTATACAATTCGTTTTGTTTTTGACAGAAACCAACAAAACAGAAATTTTCATGAAAATTTAATCAAAAAGCCACATTTTATAAAAAAACCTCATGTTTCAGTGGAAATTTTAAAATCAGCTCTACTTAATCCCTATGATGAAATAAATGGTATGCAAATGTCCTATAGTCCTAGTTCAAGACCTCTGAGTAGGGTGGAATTTCACCCTCTGTGACCACCAACGTGCCAAGAAACTTGAATCTAGGAACAAAGAGACTTTGGAATGAATAAGGCCTACATCTAATAGTATCCACCTCATGGGGAAATGATTACTAAGAGCCAACATCAGCCTTGCTGTAAGCAGGTGTAACACAGTTATCTTTCAATGGATTTGCACCCACTTACACCAGGCCTTCATTTAGCCGTAAGATTTTTTTAATATATACTGTCAACATGAGCCAGTGGCTTAATATTCAAAAATACTGAACATCAACAGTTCCCACTGGTTTCGCTGGGGGGTGGGTGCGCTGCATCTCTGAAACTCAGATAAAACATCTTCACAATAAAAGTTTTTCAGCCCTCGCTCAGTCAAAACTTTAATTGTCTTTAGTGGGAATTTTTGCCAAAATGGAGGACAATAAGATATGCCCATATGTAACCAATGTGGACTTCTCCAAATCTCACACATGAGTGAGCTGGATGGGTTTGTATTCTACATATTGAATTAAAACCTAAATTGCAGTAACATGAAGTGTGTGAAGCACTGACAAAATCCACAAAGCCGTCTAACAACAATTTCCATTTCTAAATCAAGGCTGTCTTTAGCTTGCCTTCCTATTATGCCCAGCTACCACAAAGCATATGGAGAGTGACCATGGGGAAATGC